CTTATTTCTGTAGATATGATGTTTAGAATAGTTAAGACTTCTTAGTAGCTATTGACTTACGGCATTCCGGGTTTTGGGAAATCGTTTGGTACATTTCAGAGGTGATAATTGTATAAGCCGAGTGGCATTTAGTTACTTATTAAATATTTGTTACTGTTAGTAGTTAATGTTCATGCTTTTATTTTATTTTCACAAAGTGTTAGGCTTACCTAGTCGTAGAGACTAGGTTCCGTCACGACAACTCACGGAGGGAGAAATTGGGTCGTGACACTGGTGTCAGTTGTTCATCGCGTTCGCGTGAACCTTGACGCGTTCGCGAAGAGCAGAGCCTATTTGGCTTACGCGATCGCAAAGTTATAGCCCACCTAACCTTTGCGTTCGTGATACTGGACTCGCGTTCGCATAGAGTCACCCCAGATTCCCAACCCCCACCTCAATACACTACGCGTTCGCGTGTGACCAGCCGCGTTCGCATAAAGCAAGCCCCCAAGTGCTCCGCATTTGCGACCGGTGTCTCGCGTTCGTGTAGAAGAAAAACCTAACCAGCCCAGTTCACTCTTCGCAATCGCGAGAGTACCTTCGCGATCGTGGAGAAGGAAACCAGATGACAGCTAAACTGAGGAAAAGCACCAGATTTTCTAAGTCTAAAACCATCGATAGCCTATCCGAAATTCACCCGAGCCCTCGGGGCTCCAAACCAATTACACACACAAGTCCAAAAATCTCATACGAACTCGCTCGCACGATCAAAACACCAAAATAACGCCTAGAACTATGAATCGGACACCAAATCAAATGAAATTTTCGAGAAAACTTTATAACTTCTATCTTAACAACCAAACGTCCGAATCACGTCAAACCAACTCCGTTTCTCACCAAAATTGACAGACATGTTGTAAATGTAGTAATGGAACTATACCGGGCTCCGGAACCAAAATACAGACCCGATATCAACAAAATCAAACATCGGTCAATTCTTAAAAATCATTAAAACCTTTAAACTTTTAATTTTCGACAAAAATCAATAACTCGAGCTAGGGACCTCCGAAATCGATTCCGGGCATACGCCCAGGTCCCAAATCACGATACGCAACTACCGGGACCTTCAAAACATGGATCCTGGTTGGTTTGCTCAAAATGTTGACCGAAGTCAACTCAAATGAATTTTTAAGGCAAAATTCTTATTTTAATTAGTTTTTAACATAAAAGCCTTTCGGTAAAATACCCGGACTACGTACGCAAATCAAGAAAGGCTTAAAGAAGCTATTGGAGGCTTCGAAAAATAGAATTAGGTTCTAAAACTATAGATGACCTATCGGGTCATCACCCTCACTGATGAAGGGTGGATTTCTATGGGGAAAGGAAGCTACTAAAGCATTCAACAACCTTAAGAAGGCCATGACTAGTGCTCCAGTTCTAGCATTACCAGATTTCAACAAAACCTTTGTCTTGGAGGTAGATGCTTGCAACATAGGTGTGGGAGCTGTTCTAGTGCAAGATAAAAGGCCTTTGGCCTTCATGAGCCAGACATTAAGCAAAAGACACCAGGGTTTGTCTACTTATGAAAAGAAGCTGATTGCTCTGTTGATGGCAGTTGAAAGATGGAGGCACTACCTGCACCCACATCACTTTATAATTAAAATTGACCATTTCGGTTTAAAAATTTTACATGATCAGAAAATTAGTACCTCATTGCAATACAAAGGCTTGAGCAAATTGATGGGGTCAAGTTATGAGATCAGGTACAAGAAAGGGGTGGAGAACATAGTAGTAGATGCATTATCCAGAAGGTGTGATCAACAACAGCCTAACAACTCTCCACAATGCCATGTGATAACAAGGTTACAACCCAAATAGATTGAAGAGGTATTAGCCAGTTATGAAGAAGATTAAGACATCATGCAGGCCTTCTCCAACATAAGTACCAATCCAGCTGCCAACATAGATATTACTATGTAACAAGGAATGTTGAGATACAAGGGTAAAGTGTGGGTTGGCAAACATGGCTAACTTAGGCAGCAGCTAATACAACAATACATGCCTCCGGTCTTGGTGGAAATTCTGGTATCATGGCAACTTATCTGATATTGAAAGCTATCTTCTATTGACCTTTGATGGTGGAAGATGTCAAGAAAGTAGTGCAAGGGTGTGAAATTTGTCAAAGGTGTAAAGATGAGCAAGCTACTTACCCAGGATTACTGTAGCCACTACATGTACCTGAAAAGGCATGGGACCATATTTCAATGGACTTTGTTGAAAGGATTCCAAATTCGGAAGGTCAAGACACTATATTGGTGGTTGTGGATAGGTATAGCAAGTATGCACATTTTTGCCCCTTATCACATCCTTTCACAGCATCTCAGGTAGCCAAATTATTCCTTGATACTATCTATATGTTACATGAACTACCTAAGAGTGTTGTAACTTATAGGGATAAGGTGTTCATTAGCAACTTTTGAAAGGAATTATTCAATTAGTTACAGGTACAACTATTGTATAGTTCTGCCTATCACCCTCAAATTGATGGGCAAACTGAAAGAGTGAATAGATGCTTAGAAAATTATCTGAGATGCATGACTGGGTGTAACGACCCGACCGGTTGTTTTGAGCATTTACACTTCGCTCGGTTGTTTGAGGACATGATTAGCTCCATATGATGTATTATGACTTATGTCAACCATCGGTTTGGGTTTTCAGGTTAATCAGGATTGCTTTGGAAGGATGATTCTCATGTTGAAGCTTTAAATTTGAAAGGTTGACCAAGTTTTTGACTTTTTAGTATTTGACCTCGGATTGAATTTATGATGGTTCCGTTAGCTCCGTTGGGTGATTTTGGACCTTAGGAGCGCACCGGATTGTGATTTGGAGGTTCATGGTAGAATTTGGCTTAAAATGGCGAAAGTTGGAATTTTGGAAAGTTTGACCGGGAGTGGACTTTTTTATATCGGGGTCGGATTCCGATTCGGGAAGTTGGAGTAGGTCTGTAATGTCATATGTGACTTGTGTGTAAAATGTTAGGTCAATCGGACGTGATTTTATAGGTTTCGTTGTTTTGATGTTGTTTTGAGTGATTCGAAGGTTCGACTAAGTTCGTATGGAGTTATATGACTTGTTGGCATGTTTGGTTCAGGTTCTGAGGGGCTCGGGTGAGTTTCGGACGAGGTTTGGATCATTTTCACTCTATGTTGCATAGCTGAAGATTTTCTGGTTCTGGTGTGACCGCACCTGCGGAGTGCTAGGCGCAAGTGCCAAGACGCAAAAGCGGCAGTGCCATCGCAGAAGAGAGAAAGGAATCTGGGCGTGAGGATCACAGGTAAGGGTGCTTGAATGCACCTGCGCAACCGCAGATGCGGTTCATGAGCGCAGAAGCGCGACTGCATGTGGACGTGCACCCTGTGAATTGGGACTCTGTTGTTCCTAGGGCACTGAATAGTGGCCCTATTCTTATTGATATCTATATTTTTGCCATGTGATTAAGTATTTGAGCTGTCAAATCATGCTAGATATCATGCTTAGGCTTTATGCTGTTATTGCTGGGACCTATAGTGGTCGTTTCTTGCTGTCATCTCATTGAATTCATTGATATTTCGTACCCAGTCACATTCATGCATTCATATCATATCTCAGTCTCAATTGTTACTTATTGATACATCATATAATTGTTGCGGGTCAATTTTCATGACATTGTTAGCCCGTGAGTGAGACTGGAGAGATTGATGACTGAGTGAGGCCGAGGGCCTGATTTTGAGATGTTGAGACTATGGCACGTGAGTTGTCTGTGCAGCACGTGAGTTGTTCGTGCGGATTCTGATATTGATGTTATAGCACGTGAGTTGTCCATGCGGATCATAGCGCTTGGGCTATAGGATCCCCTCCGGAGTCTGCACACCCCCAGTGAGCGCGGTTGATTATATTCAGGGGTGGATCTTCCCTTGGTATGGAGATGGATCTTCTCCATCAGGCTAGATTGGCCTGTTCCTCGGTATTGGGTGACTTATAGTCAGTGATGTATATATTCCAGGATGGATCTTCCCTAAGCCGTATGGGCCATATACAGTACCAAGTGGTTGATTATGATGAGTGAAAGGTGTGATACAGTGAGAATGAGTACTCTGAGAGTGTGAGTATATGATTCATCTATAAGGTACATGGCATTGGCATGCACATATGCCATACATGCATAGAGATGCATTTTTCCTCATGTTGTACGGTATCACGTCATTCATGACTTTTTACATACATTGATATGCGGTTATAAAGAGGTATTTGGCATTTTTTATTTGAAAAAAAAAAGAAATGAAACATGTCTACCTATTGTGGAAAGGAATTTTCAAGAAAAAGTTTTAGTTTTCAAAACTTTCTCATATTTTTAACGTTTTCGGTAGAGGATTTGGGTTTTCATTGGAATACTTGAAAAGTGGAACTGTTTTTGGAAAAACTATGAAAAGGCTGAGCACTCTATTTCTGAGCTATTTCTTTATTTATTAGTTGTACATTGTATGAGCTACTGTTGGTTATTTGTGTTGGACCAGACCTATGTTCCAGCTCGTCACTGCTTTCAAGCTAAGGTTACGTTTGTTACTTTTTGAGTACATGGGGTCGATTGTACTCATACTGCACTTCCTGCACACTGCGTGCAGATCCCAGATGTTGAGGTTGCTGCGATAGATGGTTGCTGAATTTGAAGGCGTACTTGTGTTCCCGCTGTAGCTGCCTCTTGTTCACGGTAGCCTTAGATTTATAAATTCTGTTTATGTAATTTTCGAACATAAGATGTATTTTTCTTCATATCTTCTTTGTAAACTCTATTCTTAGAAGCTCATGATTTGTACTACCAGTCCTTGGGAAATGTATAAGATTTAGATAATTCTGTTGTTTTATTATTTTATTAAGCTAAATGGAACTGGATAATTGTTTTACCTAGCGGGTTGGATTAGGTGCCATCACGACTGGTGGATTTTGGATCGTGACACTGGGCATAAGCCTAAGGAGTGGAACAAATGGCTACATTGGCTGAATTCTGGTACAACAGTAACTATCATTCATCCTTGAAAGTTACTCCCTTTAAGGTAATGTATGGGTATGATCCTCCACAGTTATCATTTGAATTGGTTTCTCAAAACCCTATAGCTTCCATTAATCAAGTTTTGAAGGAAAGACAATTGATGACCAAGATTTTGAACGGTAACTTGGAGAAAGCTCAGAACAAGATTAAATTATTAGACAAGAAAAGAACTGAAAGGGAGTTTGAGGCGGGAGATTGGGTATTCTTGAAGCTTCAACTATATAGGCAGACCTTAATTGCAATCGAAAAAAGTTTGAAATTAGCTTTCAAATTCTATGGACCTTATCAGCTTGTTAAAAAATTGATCCAGTGGCCTATAAACTGGAATTGCCTCCTACTGATAACATACATCCACTGTTCTATATATCTCAGCTCAAAAAGAAGATAGGACCACATGTAGTGCCTGCCATTAACCCTCCAATTTGCTCTCTTAAAGGACAACCATTAGTGGAACCTAGAGTTGTACTTGATAGAAGAATGATCAAGAAATGGAACAAGGCTGCTACTCAAATTTGGTTCAGTGGGCTAATCTATTGCCTGAAGAAGCCACTTGGGAAGATTATAACTTCATCAAGTCCAGTTTCCAGAATTTGAACCTTGAGGATAGGGTTCTTAAGGGAAATGGATTGTCACAAGTCAAATTTTAGTATTGTTAGAGTTAATTAGTATTGTGTAATCGAGTCCTTTGTTGAAGTCTATAAATTGTCAATTTAGTCCCTTATGTTTAGTTGTCTTATTTCAATCAAGTCCCAATAGTTTATTATCAGAATTGGGACAGGCGTCTCGCTAAGGCATAATGCCGTAAGAATTGTAGGATAGAGATTTATATAATGACAACTTTGCCTTGTACTGAATTCTTATCGAAATATGAAATAACATTTTCCCCTTTCTCTCTTATCTTCTCTCTTCTCCCTTCTCCCCCTTTCTTATTCTTATTCTGTGTTCAATCGACATTGAAGTAACAGAGCTTGACTCTCGTTACACAAGTTTAGACCATAGTGAGGGTATAACTCTTTCGTATACAATATAGTCATAGAAGTTTAGAAAAGTAAATTATCTACAATTTTTGCAACTTCTTAAAGTAAAGTGCGGTATAAAACGCGTTATAGAAGCAAAGTTAATTATCTAAACTCTATAATTCAATACTGAGACGAAAAGTTGACTTCACTGTTATTTGTAAAGTTTAATTCAAATTAAATTTAGCTTAATAAAAATAAAAAACTCTAGTCTTCCCCCGCCACAACACCTCCCTCTTCGCCTACTAATTCCAGGTTGCTTGATTACTTATGCATTTTTTACTTATGTTTTTGTTGTTAAAAGAGCTCGGTCTAGATTCTCTGCCTATCCCTTTGAAACTAGAATGGTTCATTTCTCTTTTCTTTTTGCCCGTCAATGATTTTCAATTGCAAATTGACCATACCTACGTCTTACTATACTAATTACTAATAGCCTATGTATTTCTAACTTTCTCTTGATCCTCTCTTTGACTTTGTTACATGAAAGATCTGACTTTATCATTCTAAAAAGAATTTCTATTATATTGGAGGATTAGAGAAGAGGAAGAGGGACAGTGAGAAAAATTTTGTCATAATAGTGACCATTATGTAGGCATTTGTTATAATAGTATAATTGTTAATTACCGGGAAAAAACAAGAGAAATGCTTTTTACTTTTAGGTTCTAAACCTAATTCTTTATTAACAAAAATTGATAAACATCGTCTAAGGTCAAAAGAAAAAAGGAAAAGAAAAAAAAAGAGTTTATTAATCACCAACACCATCACTACAGTCAATAATCACCATCACTAGCTACCATTTACAATCATCACCACTAACCACAATTACTACACAACCACCAATCTCTATTGATGATCGCCATCATGTTCAACCACCCGTATATATCGTCAATCACTGTTATCAGTCACCATTGCGATTAGCAATCGCTATTATCCATGACAATTATTAGCTGCTATCTGTAGGCATTTAAAATTTGTTGAATTTAAGTCAATAAAATAATTTGAACTAGTAGTAGCTACAGAAGTGGCCTGAACCATACCTCCACTGAAACTCTATCTTGGAGTTGGGAAATTGTTGTTTGTGTTGCCTTTGACACCACAAGTATATCACGCATCGGTACCATAGCATCATAACAAAGTGTCTATTTCCATATTTTTCACGAGGAAGTCGTTGTTGTGACTACGGGCCCACACGACTTTAAACATATAGAGTAGGTGCCTTGTTACTCTGACTCTGCCCATAATGGCTCCAATAGCTCTGGCTAGGTCTCGATGGTCATGCACTGAGCAGTAGACTGAGTAGGTCCAGCAAATCCTTTTCTATACAATTATTTTTCACTGCCACCACCATAAGAACCTCCACAGTTACCTATAGGCCGAGGTTTTTTGTTTTTCTCCTTTCCATCCTACTCTTTTGCTTGTGCAACTCGATTTTGCGCTAAAGCCACCATCTTAGAATAGGTCATGTTGGAATTCAATGTGGTTGTAGATGATTCATTGATAACATTAACAGCTAGCCCCCAGTCTAAGCAACATGTAGAGAGCATACCTAGAAAGCTGGGTGAGCTTCAAGCGCTACTCCAATACCCTCATAGTCCACTGCTTCAAATTAACTCTCAATAGGTAAGAAGTTATCTATAAAGGCCTCGGTGAATTCATCCTAAGCCCCCGGAGGGGCATAGCTTCCATGTGATTCTTCCCATATTTTATACCACGAGGAGACCACATCTTTGGACCGATAGGAAGCCAGTTCCACAGCCTTAATCTCGGTGGCATGTATAACTCGAAGAGCCTTTTCTGTTTCGTCAATAAATTTCTAGGGGTCCTCTTCAGGCTTGGTGCTCGTGAACACTAGATGATCTAACTTTAGGAACCTTTCCACTCTAGAACCTGTGTAGTTCTCTTGGTGAATAGGCGAAGACAATATGACATTAAATTATTGAGCTTGGGATGCTACAATTTGGGCGAGCACTTGAATAACTCCCGTAAGATCCATATTAGAAGAACTTGGTTCGGAAGAGAAGACTAGAGGTGGATCATGAATGGCGTTGGAGGAGATGGAGGAGGCACTTTATAGAGCATTTCACGTGATTTACATATCATTTTTTATCTATAAATTCATAACACTTGTAGCTTAAAAAATTTCAAATTCTCAATGCATTTTGCTGGTTTTACGACACGATTTAATATAAATATTAATCATATAAATTACAAAAAACACATATTATGATAAAATTGTTAATGGCCCAAGAGGGGAAAAGGGAGCTTTAAGATATATTTCCCGCTGAAGTCAATGCTATTAGTTATATAGAAACATCTCCCACAAGTTTTTAGTATTCAAGTCCTATTAAACAAGTCAGATAAGTCAAAACCTCTAAGGGCTTGTGCATGATGCTTGATGCAGCTTGGAGAAGTTTCTTACTAATATCCCTCTAATTATGTGAGGTGCAAGGCGTCGAACAGTTGTTTGTAAAGGGTTGCGACCACGATAGAGATAGTGAAATGTGGAACCTGCGAAGATTAAATGACAGCATCACCTAATGACTTTCTTGTTAACGTTTTCTTCTATCCTATTGCAACTATAATTGGAGTTGAAACCCTTGTTTCGACACATTAAACTAATCTAGCTATATATATATATATATATATATATATACATCAACTCCTATTCAGCTCTTAAGGAGTCAATTAAATACAAAAGGTTCCCTAATTCCTTCACTGTATCCCCCTTTTTCCAAAAATACAAGTACTAAACATCTATCTTTTACAAAAGCAATATGTTTTTTATTTCCATCAAAACACTTATGATTTGTCTCTAACAAAATAGTCCAGATTATACAGGGAGGAATAAAAAGCCAGATCTTCTGCTTCTTCTTATCCATTCTCTGTCCCTACTAACTTATGAGAGCTTGCTTCAAAGTACTTACCTGGTACAAGTACAACCCATTGTACTCCAAAAATGTTCAGGAAAATGCTCCAAATTTGCCAAGTCTGACTACAAAGCAGCATTATGATTTGTAGATTCCAGCGCATTTTCACATAAAAATATCTATTACACAACATGTACCATCTTGTTTGCAAGTTGTATTTAGTTAAACACACACTGTGAGTAGCAATCCATCCAAAACATGCAACTTTTCTTGGGACCCTCCCTTTTCCAATCAACTTCTATGGCAATTCATTATTTTAGGTATTATCCTCTTCAAGCAGCCTTGCATAACAAGATTTAACTAAAAAAATACCATTATTACTTGTTGCCTGTCCACACAATGGCATTTTGTCAGTCCTCCATCAAATTCGCTGCTCCCAACTTTTGTAAAAGAAGATTGACCCTGCCAATTTCCCAAACGTTAAAGTTCCTTCTAAAATATAGTTGCCAGCTATCTCCAGAATAACACTCTCCAGTCAAGCAATTCATGTTTGTTGCAATATCATATAAATCTGGAAACATCTTCTTCAAACTGCCTCCTTCCATCCAGAAATCTGTCAAAAATCTGAACTTCCTCCCATTGCCAACCTTCTATCTGCTATGCCTGTTGAATTCCTCCCAAAAACTTCTAATTGACTTCCACATAGCAAGATCATGTTGAGGGATCTGTTTGGGAGCATCAATCCCATATTTCACATTAACGACCTTCTAAAGTTCATTTCTGCTATCATTACATCTCCATAACCACTTGATCAACATGCTTTTATTATGAATTTTTAAGTTTTTGTCTTTTTGACTCCCATACGTCCATCTCTCATATCCTTAGAACCACTTCACTAAGTGCATCAATTTCTTTGCAGCATTGCCTTCCCATAAAAGATCACTTCTTAACTTACTCAATATATTCTCAACCTTGGCTGGGATTCGATCAGTGACACAAAATGTGTTGGCATACCATCAAGAATAGTTCAAAACAAAGTAAGCCTTCCTCCCACAGACAAATACTGCTTTTTTCGCGGAGGTAACTTCTTCTCGACCCTCTCCAAAACACTTTGCCAAATGCTACAGTCTTTATGTTTTGCTCCCAGATAAGGGTGTAATGTGGGTCGGGCCCGGGCCTAAACAGGTCTCGTGGGCCGGTCCTAAGTGGGCCCGGGCTTCGTGGGTCGGTCTTAAACGGTCCCGGGCTTCGTGGGCTTTTGGTAGGAACCGGATCAAGACCGGGACCACGAACTAATGGTCCCGGGCCTATGTGGGCCTAAGTGGGCCCAACGGTTAATTTCAAATTTTTTTAAAAAAAAAATTGTTATCTAAGGCAATTCCTTGTAAAAACTATATTATCTTGTGAATTCAAATTTAAACACAAAAATATTGTAAAGAGATATTCAAAGCAATGCATTATAATTTTACTATAGCATTAGCATTAACAAAACATGGCAATATCTTTCTTAGTCTTCCTCCCCCCCATGAAATGAGCACAACAAGGTGCTAATGCCACCATTGAGAAGAAAAAAAACTAATCAAGATGTGTCAAAATATAAGTTACATATTAATTTTACATGGTATCTCTTACAAATTTCATAAATCCTTCAAGGTTCGGAAGAATTTTCGTTGGTGGTGGCGGAAAAGAAGCTTGTTCATCACCGCTTCCG